CCACAGTGAATATTTCCAGTGGAAAAGGGAAAGAATGGGGGCACCTGGGTGGCACAGTCAGTTAGGAGTCCAGCTCTTGGTTTCGGCTCAGGTTGTGGTCTCAGGCAGAGGCTTAACCCGCTGAGCTACCCAGGCGCCCCTAAATAGATCTTGAGAAGAAAAGAACAGGAAAGAGTCGGTGCCCAGAGCACTCGCTGGTGCAATTCCTAAATGCACAGGGAGAATGTTTGCGGGACCAGGGAAAGGGGGTGCTCCCCCTGAGGCTGAGGTCTGCCTGCCGGGAGCATTCCCCTGGCTGCACCCCAGCGTGACTCTTACCTCTGCCCTCCCAGAGAACCCTCCTTTTCCAGCAGCTCTTGCTCCCTTTGAAAAATATGCCCTTTGAGCAATTCTTAAACTCCTACTGTGCTTTGCAAATTGGGGGCCCAGAGACCTTTTTTCACTCTATACTGTCCAGGCCCCTGAAGGTGGTACTTTGCCCAATACAAAGCCCTTAAACACTGTGGGGATGTCAGCATCGTGGCTGAATGAGATAGCCCTTGCCGTGTCCCCCGACTCAACAACAATTTAGCATTCATCCATGGACAGAGTGCCTTTGTGGGAACTCTGGGAACTGTGGGACCCAGTCCCACCCACCAAGGGACCCAGGCAGACTCCTGCCTCCCCAGGTGTCCAGTAATAGGCGCACAGACTTTGGTCCCAGCTGTGAAGTTTGCTGTGGCGTGTTAAGTGGCTCCACCCCTGCTTGGCCATGGTCTGGGAGCCCCTGGAAAACCCATCTTAGATAATCCCACCAAAGGAAAGAGTTTTTGTGGGAGTCCAGATTTCCAGCAGACAAATTCCAGTACATCATTAGAACAAAACAAAACAAAAATAACGAATTTGGATGCAGTGGAGAGGGTAAGAGGAACAGTGTGACTTTACCTATGTCATCCCTCCCCCAAAGCCCTGCAGCTTAGCCTCAAGAGAGAGCTTCCCATCGCTTCTCGGCCTTTTGGCTAAGATCAAGTGAAGAGAGAGCTTCCCAGCCCACAATTTCTCCCGCAGGGGAAAAAGAGAATGTGTGAGTGAGCCCGGGCTGCGTGAGATGCTGCCAAAGTGACCTGCGTCCCTCTAGCCCCTTCCAGAGTATGGGTCATGAGTTCCAGGGGCAGGAAGAGCTAGGAGAACCCCAGATGGAACTCTCGGGCAAGAAAGGGACCACAACACTCCCATCAAAAAGCCTTCCCATGAGCCACTACGGACTTGCCCACAGATACCCCAACTGGCCCACTGTCACTGCCCCCCCACTGTGCTCCACGCACCTCACCCTCA